GAATTATATCATGATAGCCCATGCAACTATAATCACATACACATGCTCTTCCTATCCCTTATTTTTCTTATTTATAAAAAAGTAGTTACTATTATTTTTTCTTTATGTTTTTAGTCAATATAATGAGAGCTAAGTGATTTCACAACTGCAGTAATGCTAGAGCTAATGATGTAACTAGAAGATTGTTGCAGAGATTAATCTGTTTAGATTAACTGGTGATAGAGTTTCTGTTGAGATAGAATTTTCAATTGTATACAAATATGGGATTAGGAAGAAACCTTCCCTAGGAGGTGGGCTTCTTATTAATCTCATAAAGGCAGATAGCAGCAGAGTTAGTACGAGGTTCTGTGATGGTTTAGAGGTAGCAGTAGACTGAAATGTGGTCTAGCTACAGTTTTGTATTTCTCTCTTTGGTGATTAATAAAAAAGTTTAATTACCCAAAACAAAAATGCATTTCTCCGGAACGCAACCTACATGATAAGCTGCAGAAAGAAAAAAATTATCTGGACCTAATTTAAAATGTTATCTCACCATTAAAAACTCTTATTGAACTAAATAAATTAGGATAAAATTCACAAATAGTTATGGTGACATTATTATGGAATTTCAATTGTGAAATTTGAAACTTCATAATAATAACTATATATATTTTTAATTATTATATAGCTAAAAAGTGACTAGTCCGCATCATTACTACCTAACCCAAATACAAATACATAAGGGAGTAGCCCAAAGTTCATACCCTCTAAAATCGAGACTTCTATAGTTCTAGCTAGTTGGAGATATTTGATATTTCCCCCATTTCCTCGAAGATGGGAGAAACAATTCATTTAGTTCAAAAATAATTTTAATAGTGAAATGACATTTAAATTAGGTTTGATAAATTTTTAAATGAAGAATTAACACAATAGCTTAAATTAAAAATAGCCAATAGATATTTAACATATATATAATTTATATATAACCGTATATATATATATATATATATATATATATATATATATATATATATATGTGTGTGTGTGTGTGTGTGTGTGTGTGTGTTTAATTTATGTATAGCGATTAGAAATAGTAAATAGAGAATCTTGGCCAGCTATTTTTGTAAATGTCCCTTTTAAAATTTCATGGCTTGTCATGCATGATGCAACCGGCCAAATACATTTTCTACGCAATAAAGTTAGAGTTCAGTGATCTTACAGATACAAATTTAGTGTGTTAATTTTCTTGCAATATGTACTATAAAATTCTCGAGCAATTATGTAATTAATTCAGGTTATTGGCCCAACTTTTTCTTCTTCAAATTAGTCAAAGCAATGGATGAAAAAAAGTTAGTGAAAGCAAAAGTATCCACTCCAAAATTAGGGGATTCACTATATTTAATAAAGGGAAATAAACAAACTGAATTACCCATCCACGTAGGAACTGAATTTGCAAAATCTTGAAACTTTTTGCTCTTTTTGAAAGTTTCCTTCTTTCTTCGTATATTTTTCCGGGAAAACATGCATGGGTATTTAATTGAACAGAAAAATTAATTCCCATTTAGCAATCACTATCTCAACTTTGACCTTATATATTCATATAAAGAAAAAGGAAATCGCTATCTCAACTTGCATTCCGATTTTTGGAGCTTACTATGGAAGAACCCAGATGGTGCTCCTTGTACTGCAATAATAAATACCTAATAAATAAATAAATAAATAGGCATACGAATAAAAATATGCAGTCTTAGTAACGTTCCCGTATTGGTTTATGCATCTACAGTTTCATATGGCGTGGTGGATGTTTTACCTTACATATATAAAACATGAAAAGAAAATAAATTAATTAACAGAATGTTCGGTTGACTATATTCAGTGGCAGAAGAAGAGGAAGAAAATATGGAATGCCCGACAATATTGCCTCTAAAATGTTTTTTATTTTAATATTTTAATTGTTGCACCGTTATTTTGTCGCATGTATTAGAAATTTGACTTTAGGATCAAAGTGACTCCAACATATTTGAAGGATCTTTGAAATGTGATTGGCATTTTTCCGGTCAAAGAATAAAAGAAAATTTTGATTGCCTATCGGCTCTTCAATTATTTTACACGCTTTGCTGATGATTGATGAATGCTCATAATTCAAAGATTAATTCGGTACCCATAAGCTAATGATGCTAATTAATGCCACCTTGACCGAAATTATATGTCTCAACTCTTCTATTTTAAATCTCAACATTTTTCCTTTCATTATGGATGAAATACTACATTTTGTTGATTGCAAATACATGCAGGAAAACAAAATAATAATACAACTATTGATTAAAGGTTTTTGAGCGGCTGAACCTTGAAGAAGGTCGAGGAGAGAGGGGACCAAATCCAAGATATTCGAGTACCCATTTCGTATTGCACGAGTCAAGAAAAAGCAACTATAATTACAATCGTCATAATTATGTGATCACATTCCATTTTTTTCTCAAATAAAATACATTCATTGAAGAAAAATATTATTGGGAAAAAATATATTTATGCTATCATGATCCAATTGATATAGAGTGAGCTTGGTGGTTAAATGTTATGAAAAGGACATCAAATTTTGAACTATAAGGATACTTCATCTTTAGTAGGAATAAATGGATCAAAAATATTTTCATTGTCTAATTAACCACATCATCAACTCAAATGATTTGTATATAAGTTTGTCACGGATCAAAAAGTTTGCTATTTAAGTAGAATAAAATTGAGGAAGATAACTTATCATCCATTAAATTTGAAGTTTGAACCGTCCTAAGCTAGCGCACTTTGAGAAATTTCTTGATTACCAAAATAAATAAATAAATCTTCTTATATGAAAAGACTAATGTTGTTGAATAATACAAATATTGGGTTTTTAAAAGTTAATTACATTATGAAAGAGCATTAAATAAGTTTTCTTAAAAGGAGGATCCTAATGACGTTTTTATTTCTTTTCTTTTTGCCTTATAGCTACTTGAGAGTTGAGTCAGTATTCCATTATTTCCGTCTGCACAGTGTGCGTTCAACTCTATATCTAAAGGGATTAATATAAATTATCAAACATGACCTAATAAGAAATAAAGAGCCAATTGCCTTTCATTTACAGATAGAAATTGAACAACAAAGAATCCAACGCACATACCATAATTAGAGCGACACCTACCCCATGTGCAGAAAGGTATTATCCGTCATTTTTTATTTTAAAGACATGATTATCTGGTTTCTAGAAAAGCAAAAGGCTTTAATGAGATAGTAACAAATACCGTACTCCTAATTTTCAATCATTTGTTTAATTTAATTTAATAAATGTTAAGGTAACAGAACTTATAATACAATAGTGTTCGCTTGCGCCACAAAGTTTGTTACATCAATGATTTCACTAGCTAAACTAACAATTTAGACTACGACAAATGGTCAAATATACCTCTTCTATTTTCGAAAATGGTCTAAGAATACTCCTCGTTATACTATTGAGTTATTTATATCTCTGCAGTCATACTTTGGGTTCAAATATACCCTTCATTTAAACGGGAGGACACGTGTCATCGTCCTGTTGGTCAATTCTAAATATCTCCTAATTAATTAAAAAAACTAATTATTCAGATTCCAACGTTAGGCTCCTAGAATAGGTTGTTCACCGTTCAGTTGGCATATCTTGGTGTGCATGGGGTGGGGAGGGTGATTGAACCCCACATCAATATATACTTTCGTGTGTAAAATGAAAAGTTTAAAATTAAATTATTTTTAATTATAGATAAATTTTTTTAAATTATATATAGACCAAAAAAGAAAGAATATCATAAATCAATCTTCTTTGAAATAAGTAAACAAAAAAAGAATATCACTTAAAATAAAATAAAAATATCATTCAGTTAAAAACAAACTCGAAAAAAGATTATCACATAAATAAGACCGACAAAATAATAATCAGACCAAACTTATATCCACAACTAACAAATGCAAGTGGAATTTACAAAAACAAGCATAATTTAGGTATTAGACTGGCCCCTACACCATATGCGTGAATCTAACAGTGGATACTTTATTTCTGGACCAATTGAAAAAAGAAAAAGAAAAGTTCATTGGCATAAACGGAACAAACACTCTCAAATGCGCAAAAAGTCAGTCCTGGTCCTTTTGTTGCCAACGATGTATACCTAAAGCCGTACTACTACCTTAGGCGCTAAGATTTTGTTTCTTCACAAAATTCAAATAATTATAAAAAAACTCTGTATTCCATTTTTATGACATTATAGTATTTGGAAGTCAAATACTTTTGTATCAAAATACCTTTTTCTATTTAATTTCTAAGTATATACATTTTAATAAACCGAGACAACAAGTCGAAATGTTTGATCCTCGTACTTTGAATATCTTTATTCTTTTTGATATGGTGAGAGTAATTTATATTACTTAGTTTATATTTAAAAAATAATTTCAATAATCACGCTATTATGGAATCATTGCTCAAATTCAACTGTCTTGAAAAATAATAATACCTATAATATGGGTAACATATTACGTTGTTTTATGAAAAATGCTTTCTAACACCATTCCGAAAGTTTAGTCGTTTTAACAAATAAAATTTATTTTAAATATTTGACGTTCTAGAAAAATAAAAAGTCATTTACTTTTGTTTGTATCCGTACTTATTATTTCAATCAGTGTTGTGTTAATTAAATGAGATAAATGATAGTTGAGACGACTAATTCATAATTAAGGTTATTAATGATTTTCTTAAAGTGTATGCAAAATTTTTAATGATAATATCAATTGAGTTTAACTTATATATAATTTTTTTATAGTATCAACTTATCTGGTCATGCGCAGAAATTTACTTGTGCCTTCCATAAAAAATGGATTAATATTGTAAATATGGCAGATAGACAATAGATAAATATGACGTGATAGCTTATTTTTTCTTATTCTATTTGGCATAATATTGGGATTGTAATCTTGTAAATAAGTTAAGTTATGTGCTTATAATAGGTTAAGAGACACGACAACATTCAAATTATTTATAGATATTAGTTAATCTCATATGAATTAGAGGGAATGATAAATAAGATAAACCTAGAAAAACAAAGAGGCCTAATCTGAAGCGCACTAATAAAAAGCAGCATCCCGTTCCGTTATCGACTAACGGCAACGTTAATTGTTGGCCCTGGAAAGTCACAACATCTGCCAACAAAGCCGGCGCGAAAAGGCAAATTGTGGCGGAACACACAGCTTCCCCCACCACCGACGCGGCCGTTGTACGCTACTTCTTATGCGTTATGCCCCCCTCCTTTTCCATTTTAATGACAATACCAAGGCACTCGTTATCTGCAACTATACCCCACTTAACAACACAATTACTTCTCCATTCTTATTATTCTCTCTACTAGAGAGAGAAATTAAAAATTCAAGTGAGAGAAAGAGTCCCCCACTCCTCGTAAAAGGAAAGTAACGTAATCGACGCTTTCACGAGATTCGTACTTTCCCACAACACAGTGAGAGAAATATATATAGACAGAGAGTAACTAGAAAGCAAAGTTAGCTTTAGCTTACGCCGTTTCTAGAATATATATACACGTACACTGTATAGAAGATCCTAGAGAGAGGAGAGAGAGAGAGAGAATTGATCATCTACATTCCGTGTGTATGTGGCATTCATCCTCTGTAAGGTATACACATGAAAGAGCTGATATTCGTTTGTTAATCATGTGAAAAACGTTCCAATGGTTAAGTTTTATTCGTTTGCGTTATTGATCTTCTTCTTTTCATTGCTTCTATGCTCGGCACTGATCTGTCTGAAGATCTGGAATTTATGCGTTAACGTTACTTTTTCGGTACCGATTCTATTTTTGATTTGTGCAGATTCACGATATAATTCAGAATTGAAGAACTGGATTTTTTTTGTCAAAATCACGGTATAATCGGATTTGATAAGCATAATGCCAGGTATTTTCGTGTCAAATTTGCAATAATTTGGATCAATTTGGATTCAGCTGCACATATTTCTAATTTTACTCCTTTGATTTTTATGATTTTTAGAAATTGTTGGAGTACATGATCACGAACGAACGAAGAGATATTATTTTGAGCCATCTGAGGACGAGAAGAGAAGAACTCGGATCAGATCTTTGAAGAAAAGGGCAATGAATGCTTCCACAAAGCTAACGCATTCCCTCAAAAGACGTACTAGTAAACGAGTCGCTCATTGCCGATTTGCTTCCATTTCCACTGAAGATTTTCGAGACGAGAAGGAAGAGGAGGCTGTGAATTCATTTCGCCAGGCCTTGTTGGAAAAGGATCTCCTTCCCACTCGTCATGATGATTATCATACTATGTTGAGGTAACTTGCACTTCAGCTGAAAACCTAACCCTACGCTTTCAAACAAAAGAATAAGTAAATATCAATATGAAAATTTTCTTTTGGAGGGGCCATCAGTAAGCATAGTCTCTAAACGTATCGCAATGCCTTTCTTAAAGCTCTGCCAATGAATCCAATTGGGCCAATAGTCGCTAGTGTTACTTTACTGTACCCTTGTAACTCGAATTGTTGATGATATGAATCTACAGTATATATGTTTGAGGGGGTCGTAAATAATATCGCCAACAAAGATTTGAGATGCGGTTGCACGGGGGAGCTTGGGAGGATGCAATGGCACATTTCTTCCTTCTTTAACAAAATTCACGTTCTTTGAGCTTCCAATGCTCTGGGTGAATTGGATGATCTTGGGGATTAATTTGGATGGGGTTGGACCCTTTCCCTTTTTCTGCAACTTGGTCTGAGCTTAATCTTCGGTGAATATAGAGTTTTAAGGAAAATAAAGACCTTATTAAGTTTTGCTTGATCCTAACATGAAGGGTCATCCATTTCTCTTGAGAAAGTAAGACAATCAAAAAGGTTAAATAACAAGTGTTTAGTGCTTTTTCTCTTGTTCTTTTGACTAAAAAGAATTTGAAGGAGAAGAACTATCATATCTGCTTCCATTGAGGTAATGAAATCATGAGGGAAGAACACTTTTTGGAGTTTGCTAGCACTCTTGTCCTGGATTGAGACATTGTATAGGGGCTAGCAACTCACTTTTGTTATTTTTGTATTTCTGCTTCCTGTAAGTAGCTCCTTGTAATCTTGCATCTTCTTGATGCCTTCTCTTTTAATGCAACAAATTACTTCATCAAAAAAAAAAAAAAAAAAAAAAAAAAAAAAAAAAAAAAAAAAGAAACCAAACCAAGAGGGGAGAGTACCAAAGTCTTCTATTTTATAGAAGCATGATCTCTCTTCAGAGAATATAGTACAGATGGTGGAAGGGTCTTGAATTTGGATATAGAAACCTTTTAATGAGTATTACCTCCATTTATAAGATCGTTTCCTGAAATAAGCATATTACTTCGGGGCATCACACCTAGGGTCTGCGGTGCATGTTTAAAACTATATAAGGAACAGATATGCTTGACCCGAGCTGTTTTTCTTGTCTAGATAGTATATCTCCTTTTCTATCCATACAAGAAGAACTCATCTGTTGATTACCAAAATCTAGTAGGGTATATATTAATATAAATCATCTACCTGCAAGAGTTTCGCATAATCTTCCTGACTATAATCCATGTAGCTTGCGAATAATTTGCAGAGCTAGCCTTTTTGAGGAATGGAGGTAGACTTCTTCGACATTTTTAGAATATAAAGACTTTGTTTAGAGGCCTCCTTTTGAAATACAAGCATAAAGCAATAATATGGAAAACTATAGCTAATTTATTTTCAAAGTTATTGCATTTATCTCAATAAAGAGTAAAGAGTTTGGTAAGCTTGATAACTAAGCTTAGTTTTCCATGTTTACAGCTTTTAATCTTGGTGAAATCCTACCTTTACCAATAAGAGGTTTCTTTGTTGTGAGTGTTGCTTTTGAGACCATAGTTTTTGGTACAGACCTATTCTTTGTGTTACATTATGATACTTGAACCCTGAAGCTTATACAGTAGCCGAATAGGAAAGTGTTCAATTTCTTCTCATGGCAGCATATTTTCTTTGATGGCAGACAAGATAAAGAACATAGTGCTCCAAATTTTCTTTCCTTAGAAGTACCTCTTCGTAATTCTTTCTGCTCTTGTTCGTCAAATCTTATTTCTTTGACAATTATTCTTTGCACGTAGATGTTGCTTAATTTCTTCTCTTCTCTTTCTCCATAACAGTTTGGAAATATAGATGCTTTTTAAATAAGAGGATCGTTGTTGTTTTTTCATACATGGTAAGGCCATGTGATTCAAGTTCCCTAGTCGCATTGCTTCTTTTTTCATATTGAAAGCATATTTGGATCGATTGCAGGTTCTTAAAGGCAAGGAAATTTGACCTTGATAAGGCCATGCTAATGTGGTCTGAAATGCTCAACTGGAGGAAAGAACAAGGAGTAGACACTATTATACAGGTAGAGTTCTGTTGCATGCAATTTACGTGCATATTGCTGTATTTTGCTTTAGCTAGAAAACAATAAGTTTTTTGTTGCTCATAAGCTGTACAGAGTTCTAGATCTGATGAGAATTGAGGCAAATGATGATGTTTTGAACTATTATTACCAAAACTCCCTACTAAAGCATTCTCTGGACATCGTTTCTAGTGTAGTATTTTAAAATGATTAAAGTAACTGTTTGGCATCTTTATAACATTAGCAATTTCTCTAAGGGGCCAATATGCTAAAGTGCTCCAATTTGTATTGCTGTTTTGTATGTAACGGTTGAAAACTGTCAAATCTCTATGCAGCATAGAATTTTTATTTGATGACCCTTTTCATTTCTTGTTTTTAATGTATTAGTCCTTCCCCACTTTTCCCCCACAGAGTCTGAAGAAATTGTCTGGAGCTGTGGCATTGTTATGATTTGATTTCAACAATTGATGTTAAATTGGAATTTTTGTTTTTGATAAAGTAATCCAAGTTTATAAGGAAAAGGAAAAAATTGCCCATATACAAGAAGTATACCAAAAACTAGAAAAATATGATTTTCTACGAACAATACCCAACCTTTTATGCTTATTGGGACCTCATGGGTGCAACAACAACAACAACAACAACAAACCCAGTAGTTTCCCACAAGTGGGGTTTGGGGAGGGTAAGATGTACGCAGCCTTACCACTACCCCTGAAAGGGCAGAGAGGCTGTTTCCGATATACCCTCGGCTAGAGAACGACCGAAAAGAAAAGGTAATTGCAACAAGTAGGAGCTCATGGGTGCAACAAAGGGAAAAGATGTTATTCCTCAACCGTACAAAATCCTTCTCTATTCCCTAAAAAACTCTCTGATTTCTGTCTCTCGTAATCTATGTAAGTGTAAGTGGAGCAACATTCCATGCCCTCCGGTGTCTTCTTTTTGGTCTTCTAGAGGTCCAACTGAACATAACTTCTTTGGTTGAGTCTGACATCACATATTGAAGACCAAACCATCCTAGTACTTCCCACAACAACCGAAACGCAGTGCAAGAAGAAGGTGATCCACGTCGTCTCCTGAACATTTACCCATAAACCACTAACTGACACATGGAATCTTCCTCCTTCTCCAATTCTCAGCCGTTAAGATCACCCTCTCCCCTCGGGCAGCTAGCCAGGCGACAAAACACACCTTTCTAGGAACTTTCGGGTTCCATACAAAACAAGAACAACAACAAAAAACCTAATGGAATCCCACAAGTGGGTCTGGGGAGGGTAGTGTGTACGCAGACCTTACCCACAAGAGAGCCTGCTTCCGGTAGACCCTGACTCAACATAGTCGTAGCAACAAAGCAAAGGAAATAAAGTTATGAAAAGGACATGGAAAAAGTAGTAACAACAAGAAGATAGTAACAAAAGCACATCAACGGGTTCCATACAAAGAGATTTGAAAAAACTTGACTCTTCCCTGCCCAAGAAATTTTCATAATAAGACATAATAGAATAACACCATTACCCCCCCTCCCCCCCTCAAATCCCAATGAACTTCTCAATCTTGTAGCCTCTGTATCCCTTGGACTCGCATACCCTAAAATTTTGAACATATTAGGAAATGTGTTGTTTCCGCAGGACTTGTGCCTCCAAAAAACTTCTCCTGCTTTCATCACCCACCCTGAATGATATCATTCCTATTAAACTCTTCTCACCCGTTCAAGATATTCCTCCATAGCCCGCATCCATAAGGGAGTGACTTTTTTTGTTCTCCATCCCCCTCCAACAACCCATTAAACCGGAATTTTTTTTCTTGACCCTTAAGGCCTCAAAGCCAAGTGCTATTCATTTATGTTTCTATTGATATGAAATACTATCATCATTCAGGCTAATATTTGTAAAGTTTGTAGAAAGACAATTGGGGTTGTTCCTCTTCTACCCTTCTATTTTTTAATATTTCTTGAATGAATTACAACAATCTTTTGTTTAGAATCCTAAAGACTGAAGTCTCAAGCAGTATCAGATATGAACATCTATGCACTCTCTATCTCCTCTCTTTTTCTCTCTGCTTCTTCGTCCAGTGTTCCCTGCTGTCCTAAATCTTGAATACATACATAACAAAAAGCTTTTGACAATTTAAATTTTGGCACATCTTCTTGTCTTTTAGGTGTATAAATTCTGATGTAAACTCTGGAAATGTTTAGGATTTTGAGTATGAGGAATATGAGGAAGTTCAGCGTCATTACCCTCATGGTTACCATGGTGTAGACAAAGGGGGACGGCCTGTCTATATTGAAAGACTTGGCAAGATTGAACCTACTAAACTTATGAATGTTACCACAATAGAAAGGTTCTTGAAGTATCACATCCAAGGGTTTGAAAGGACTTTTGCTGAAAAATTTCCAGCATGTTCGATTGCAGCTAGGAGGCATATAGATTCATCTACTACAATTTTGGATGTTCAAGGACTGGTCGGTATTGATTTACTTGATATTCAACCTAAGCTTCATTAGTTTCCATATTTGATATACAACATCCTTTTTTGTGATCATGTAGAATTGGAGGAGTTTTGGGAAGCTTGCCCATGATTTGGTCATGCGCATGCAGAAAATAGATGGCGACAACTACCCAGAGGTGCCTCAGTTTCAGTTCTGAATAGTAAATCATAATTCCTTTTAATCATTTGATCCTTTGTTAACAATTTTTTCTTCTGCAGACATTGCACCAGATGTTCATTGTCAATGCTGGAAATGGATTCAGATTTCTTTGGAATACTGCTAAAGGATTTCTTGATCCAAGGACAACAGCGAAGATACATGTAAAAGAATTTCCACTATCTGCATGGTTGTCCTTGAGGGTAATGTGAAACTTATAATGATCGCCTCTGTTTAATTAACAGGTATTGGGAAACAAATTCCAGAGTAACTTAGCAGAAGTCATAGACCCCAGGTATACCAATGGCTGCTAAAATGTCATTTTCTATATTGCAAAAGTATGATTATTGAATAAACAGTGTCATTCCTTCATTATGTACATTGGTTTTAACAGCCAATTGCCAGATTTTCTTGGAGGAACCTGCTCATGCCCAAATCCAGGTGGGTGTCTTAGGTCTAACAAAGGACCCTGGAATGATCCAGAACTGATGAAGGTGTGGTCATTGTCTGTAGAAATCATATTCATCACATGTTTTTGTGTAATAATCCGTCGTCAGACATTTCTCACTTTTTCATGCCAAAAACCCTTGCAGCTGGTCCTTGCATTACATGGTGAAGCGCTTTATCCCAGGAGAATAACTAGCTTCTCTGATAGTGATATCGAAATCAAACCTGTTTCGCCTCAGGTATTATAGTGGCTTAGCTGCACTGCTCTCTGCCTTTCCAGTTATCTTAGAGATGCATCGTGTTTGAGACCAGTATTCTCTGCTCAGTTATTAGGCGACGAGATTGGGTCTGCAGAAACTGAAATGGAAGTGGGGGTCTCTGCTTACAGTATCATCCAATCAAAACCACTTTCTGACAAAGTGAGTAACAAGATTCTGTTTGCCCCTTACCAGCTCTTGATCCATGTTTATGCTAAGTTGAGAACATCTATGTTTGAGTTTTCTCTATTTCCTAAGCTGTTTCGTCATCATTTGTGATATATGTGGGACATTTGACCAGCAAGTTAGCTAGGGTGTTCTATTAGCTTTCGTGTATTATAGAAGGGAAGGCAGTGAGAAAACCGAGCAATCACTCTTTAGGAACAGTTTCCCAGTAAAGAAAGATATAACAGATGCATCATACATGTGAATTTGCAGATATGATTTTGCATGTGCCATAGCAGGAGTATACCCCTTTGAATTTACTTCCTCTAGCCCCAATAAAAATAAACTAGTTCTTTTTTGGTTCATCCTAAATTTTACCTTTTAGATGTCGAAGTGTGCGACCATCTCATAAAGTTTAAGCTGTTAGAGAGAGAGCACTTTAAATTACTTAAATATCTTATGTTTCAACACGCCCCCTCATGTGTGGGCCTTATTCTTTTTCCTGACCAAACACGTGGAATTCTTTTTCTTTTTGGGTGGTGAGACTCGAACCCAGGACCTCCCTTGATACCATTTCAAGTGTGTGACCATATCATCTAAAAGTTTAAGCTTTTAGAGACAACACACTTTTAATTACTTAAATATCTTACTATGTTTCAACACCCTAAAACTGAAATTTCTCCCTCCAAGAATTCAATTCAATATGAAATAATAGTATAACTTGATTTGTGCGTCTTACCAAATAACCATACCTTTTTATCTTTTTTGATAACCGAAAAATCCGATGTTTCCAATTTTGAAATTCGCTCGGCCCATCCTACCCTTCTCACTTAAATACCACACTTGGTTTCCCGGCAAGAATCAAACTGGTGATATGCGCCTATTATTGCATATCCCATGTATTCTACTTTTGTCATTGAACCAAAGCCCTGAGGGCCTAAGTTGCTCGGACTCTTTACTTTCAGTGCCGCATCGACACGACGTGGGTGTGGGATCCGTGTCGGATCTGGTCAACTGATTTTGGATACTTTGACCAAAATCAACGGAGAAATTTGGGACAGATACAATGATTTTTGAAAACAAATCAAAAGCTAGGGTGATATGGAAGAAAATGGAATACCTTGTATATATAAATTTATATGCCAGTCCTTTTCCTTTTTATCTCCTAAAATTCTACTCTTGTTCAATGTTTTTTCCTTCTCGGAATACCTTGTAAGTTTTCCACATAATGTCTCATAATATCGACATATTTTTATAACTCTATTTTTAAATAATTGAATTATTTTTAGCGGAATCCCCGCACCCGTATCCGTACATGGATCTGTATCCCCGAATCTTTAAATTTAGATCATGAAGGATCTGACCTCTAGATCCGCGCCCGTATCAGACACCCGCACCCGAGGCCGAGCAACTTAGTTGAGTGCTATACCTTTTCATATTATAAACTATTATTTTAACATTTTTCTACCAAATTAAATATAATAATCTATTCAAACATTTTACTATAACTTCTACTTACCAAAAAAGAAAATAACATTGTACTTTTTTTGAGATGGAAAGTGAAAGTAGTCACCGTTTAATGGGATAGAGAGAGTAATGGTGTTTCGTCTTTATTATTATGCTATATGCAGACGTTATTTGATGCAATTATAGCCCTATATGCTGAGGATGCTTATAACCAGATTTGCAGAATCTGGTTCTCTATTGGTTGGTTGTCAATTGCGATCTACAACATAATACAGAAACATGTTTAAATTTTTTCCACCTCAAACTCGTGACTTTCATACGCCCAGTGTTTTATGTTTCTCCATTATAGTTGTATATTCATGTCTCCTGCTTGATTTCTTTAGGGACCAACCAGGAGATCTGTTTCATTCGGCAATTTAATTCAAGAAGATCATGGGCCGATGCCTACAGCTGAGGATTTAAGTTCTCCAAGTAAGAGCTTTGATTTCTATGGTCAATCAGTGAGTTTCATTTTGCATTAGCCAGCTGGTCTTTCCTTTACCAGAGTACATTTTGCTGTTAATGTGTGGTATCCGTCATGTCTCAAATTTACTTAGGACATGTTGCCTTGTTTCTTTAATATAAGCATGGTTCTAGGCCATGTGACAGCTCAGTGTTGGTCATCATAGTTGGCTGAGCTCCCGTAGCACAATATGATTGGTTGTTGAAACAAGTAATCCTAACACTTCTGTTAGGTTAGATTAAGTTTTGTATATGTTGCTAGTAGAGAGAGTTATCCGAAGGCTTTTAATCATTTTAAGAGGAAGAAATGCACTTGGATCTTATTAGAGGTTGCTTTATTGAAATCTTATTTAATGCTAGGAAATTATTGACACCTTTTCTTTTTTGCCACTTCACTATGCAATTCCTTTTAGAAGAAAATAATGCTTCTTCTGCAGTTGGATGCGATGATGGAGTTGTTTTATCTGATGCGTTGTAGAATAGACATAATTTCCAGTGTGCGACTTTGGCACAAAACCTGAATGCTATCATCTCCTCTAGGGTTATTAAAAATTTGAGTCAGTGGTTTAGGAGTTGTTGCACTTATAGTACATTAAATGTTTATGCAGTTCTAAAGAGCTTTCTAAAAGATGCTTTCAGTTTTTTTTTTTTTTTTTTGGGCAAAATCTTCCTGTCTCATGCATCATTTCGCCTTTCCTTTCAAGAGGAAAGGGAGCTTTTTTATACTGATTTGTTTGTTCACCTTTTTTTATGTGAGAATTTGTACAGGATTTTGCTTTGTTTTGAAAAGAAGCTTCACTGTGGTCTCATACATCTAATTGTTTTTTCTCTCTGCAACAGATAGGGCTACTGTAGCACTACAACGAAGGTCGCCTGAGAAATCTATCGTTGGCTTGATGATTGATATGATGGTCAAATCACTTGCATGGATATATTTCTTGTTTCGTGGGGTGGGTAGGTTATTTGTGAAGAACAATGATGCAAACAGATTTGGAAACGGGCAGAGATCAGTGAGTGCAAGTTCTGCCGAGCAAATTGTTTCTTCCCCGAAAAAGGAAGATCTCCTCCATCCATGCTGTCAGAGGTTGCAACATTTAGAGGAGGTGGTGGCTGATTTGTTGAAGAAACCTACAAAAATTCCTCCTGAAAAAGACCTTATGCTGCTTGATTCAATGGACCGAATAAAGTTCATAGAGTACGACTTGCAAAGGACGAAGAAGGTACTGGCCCATGAACTGTTTTGAGATATTATTCATTTTGTCCAGTCGCTGCGTTATTTATTTATCATTGACAAGTGGAACTAAACCTTCATGGTCTTAGGCACTTCTTGCAACAGCATCACAACAAGTAGAGCTTGCTGAATCATTGGAATCTTTGAAGGAGAACAAGTTTAAAGTAAGTTTTCTCCCATGAACCTTACTGTAACCTCTGCTCAGCCAGGTTACAAAATTTAGATTACTAAGAACTATTTCAAACAGGCGACAAACTCATGTTGGCTGAGAGGCAAGCCTTCTCAATACAGAACTTGATTTGGGTGGAAACAGCAGTGATGTGGTTGAGACTTGTCAACAATTTGGATTGGACCCCCATATATACTTGAGATACGGAGCTTTGCAGGTAAAAAGACCATGCCGGAAATAAATTTGGCAGCATCAGTGGGTAACTTCCATCTGTTTCCACAATTAATGTCCCAATTTACCTTCCATCTCCCTCCCTCTTAAGTGTCATCTCTTTGCTATTTCTTTCAGGCTATTGAGTTGGTGGTCAAGTTAGGCTTGCTAGAGTGTTGCACTCTGCCTCATTTTTCTTTAGAGGCGGGAGTGTGATGTTATAGTTGGATTACACAATCATATTTGTACATAATTGATGCGTGAGCAACTAGTTCTGAACATCACTCACATATTTGCTGTACAGAACAAGGACGGATTTAATGCATAGCTAACAGATTCGTTGTCTAAGATTCTCAGAGACTTTACTTGAGCGAATTGTTGAACGATATTTTTAAAGTAATAATTGGATATTTATGTGTGCTCTTCTTGAATGAGTCAGATTCTACTTTAGTTACTTTGACATGCTCTCCAAGTGAGAAGTAGTACAAAGTGGCAGATTCGCTAATTTCAGTTTTGAAGTGACAGAAGTATAGAAAGAACGTACGTGGATTTGGAGGGAGTCCGAACAACCCAATTGTCAAAGATGATAACCTTAGTACTACAGTTAATATTATATTCATTTTTAACGAGGTCACTAGCAATCGGTTCGAATTGAAGTTCAATCGAATTGAATTGTAGAATCAAGCCAATACATATATGAATAGATTAATGAAATTAAGCAAATAAAAGATAAGAATCTTATTGATTATCATTGTGAGCCACAATGCTTGCAAAATCAAGAAGAATTGTCCAACAATAATGCAATAGCTTTAGCATTTGAGTAAAGAATAAGTTCAGTTGATTGTGAATGAATTGTACAAGTCAAAAGAATGGAGGTATTTATAGCCTACGCATAAAGTTCCCATGATTATCTTCACATAATCATCTCCACTCCCGCACGTCACTCCAAGTAGTTATGAACTGCCGAGAGCCGGTTGTAGGTGGCAAATCTGGCATAGTGGGCATGAGCTAATCCCTTGCATCACGGGGGCAGTTGAAGACCAAGTCAAGTTCCGGATCATGGCTTCATCGGTTAGCCCCCAAAACCATCTTTTGGGATGCTTCACCGAGACACAATGCTTATTTTTCTGGGAAGGGGTCACCAAACTGTAAGTACTTCATGTGAAGATTGACGTGTCAGAGTTCAATTTTTACCAATACAGCCGTCACCAGCAGATTTTTCTTTTCTTTCTACATATTGATTTTAATTACTAAATACTGTTACTCCTTCTATTCCACTTTATAAGACGCTATTGCTATTTGAAACAACTTTTCCTTTGACCTCAACATTTTATATATAAATACACACATATTTCTTGATAAGTTATGTGTCTTGCTATTTTTTGATGATCTGACAAATTTAGTGTTAAGAACCAGACGAGGAACCTGTTCCACATCCTCTGAGTGCTCAAAGACCAACAAGTCTCAAGTCTGGGACATGCTCCAACTTTCAGAGTCCAAGAAACAACAGAGGGAACAAATCGACATCAGTTCCCTTGCTGACAGTACCAGTCAGCTCCCCACAGCTGTAAAGTGACTGTAACTGTTCCTCTGCACACACACAACAGTGCAAACAATGGAGCAATCACTTTATAGGGAATACCTTTGTACCAAACATGTTTGCATCATTCAAGTGATGTCACTTATGTAATATTAACATGAAGCAAAGCAAAAACAATACACTTGCACACTCAGAATCGATCAAGCTCTCTCTCAAGTGTATTGCCAACTTGCAAGTGATATTCAAGGAGTCAAGAACAAAGAGCAACATAACGAAGGACCAGTTTCCTGCATTGAGTCATCATATGTCCTTAGTTGTGTAGCACCTTTGGCAAAATAATTTACTTATAATTCCTACTTAGCTTAGTTAGAAGCATTGTGTAGGCAACCCTTGTAAAATCATAAACCATATGTTTGTGTCTTGGCTAGAGTTAGTCGAGTTGTAATCTTTGTAATAGAGTTATTACAAAGGGGCTTGTAATAAAGTTGTTACAAGTTAGTGAGGGATTAAGAGGTTAATTTCTAGGTTACAACAGTTTGTAATCTGAAGTTTGCTCACTTGTAAAGTTGAAATCCTATAAATATAGATCGTGATTTTTAATCCCGTGAGCTGGGAGTTGTTCACGTAAAACTCTACTGTGTCATTTACTTACTGTTGTGTGCGTGCGTTATGTAGAAACTGATAGACAAGCTAGTTCTCTGTATAGTTTGGTGGACCCTTAGTTTCTATTAATTGGTATCAGAGTAGTTTCTTTTTATCAGGCTAACACCTAGAAAGGATACTCATGGCTGCTCCACCAAACTTTGAAGAAGGTCAATCAACCTAGAGACCACCATGATTTAATGGCCAATACTATGGATGGTGGAAGACAAGGATGCATAATTTTATCATGGCTGAGGACTCAAAACTTTGGGATATCATCTGTGATGGTCCTTTTGTTCCTATGAAGACCACTGGAGAACCAACAATGTTAGTTCCCAAGACTAGGAAAGAATACAACGATGCTGACAGAAAGGCTATAGAGAAGAACTTCCAAGCCAAAAAGATCCTCGTCTGTGGTATTGGATCAGACGAATACAACCGGATTTCTGCCTGCTAATCTGCCAAGGAGATCTGGGAAGCTCTCCAAACAGCACACGAAAGGACTACTCAAGTCAAACAGTTGAATATTGATATACTAACCACTGAGTATAAGCTATTCAGTATGAACGACGATGAGTCCATCCAGGACATGCAAACTCGTTTCACTTCTATCATCAATGAGCTTCATTCTCTGGGAGAAATCATTTCAAGAAACAAGTTTGTCAGAAAAATACCCAGCGTATTACCTGGATCCTGGGAAAGCAAAGTAAATGCTATCACAGAGGCAAAGGATCTGTAGAAGCTGACCATTGATGAACTCATTGGCAATCTGAAAACTTATGAGATGAATAAAAAGAAGGATAATAAGAGAAGAGAGCCCAAAAGGGAGAAGAACCTGGTCCTCAAAACATATAAAAATGACTCAAGTGGTGAGGATGCTGATATGGCTTATCTGACAAAGAGATTTCAGAAAATGATTCGCAGAAATGGAGGTATTCCAAAAAGGGGCAGCTCTAACAATCTAAGAGGCTATGACCTATGCCATAAGTGTGGGAAGCCAGGATATTTCATCAAGGATTGCCCCCCTCCTCAAGAAAGATCAGTACAAACACAACACAAACAAAGTAGTCAAGAGGAACCCGGTTCCTGACAAACGATTCAAGAGAAAAGATGCCGCTGACAATGTTGTGAAGCAAGCTCTTGCTGCATGTAGAGACTCCTTCAGCGAATCAGGAGAGGATGATGAACAAGGTGACAACTCCATGATGGCAGTAGAGAGTGAAACAGTTGAATATGACTCTATCTTTGCCCTGATGGCAAAATCGGACGATGATGAAGAGGATGATGAGGTAAACTTTCTGGACGTTCAAAGAAATTTGAAGTCCTACTCTCAGAAAAAGCTTATATCTTTGGAAAATATTTTAATTGATGCTTATCATAGTCTTATAAATGATAAAAATGCATTAACTGTGGAATTAGGAGAAATAGAACATGAGAGGGATGATCTAGTGGTTGTCGTGGTCGATTTTAAAGAGACAATTGAGTGCTTAAAAAATGATAAAGAAGCTCTAACCGAAAAGATTGCTAGCATAGAGCAAGAGAGAGATGACTTATTAGTAGTAGTCGTGGACCTAAAGGAAACAATTGAGCAACTAAAAAGGGAAGGTGGGCATGAGATCAGCCAAAAGGGAAAGGAAGTTACAAGTGAGGCACATATTAAACTTGAAAATGAACCCCAAACTGTGAAATCTAGTCTGTGTGCAGAACTTGAAAGAAACAAGCAACTTCAAGAAGACCTAGGCAGAGTTAAAAGTGACCTCGAAAAATCTCTGAAGTGTACCTGGTCCCTCTGATACAATTGCTGCCATGTATACAAGCAATGGTGGGAACAGGCAGGGAGTCGGTTCCAAAGAGAAAAGACTCCCTACAATCCACATAACAAGTATGTTACTATCCCTGATAACTGGCTTTGTACTCACTGTAGCAACACTGATCACTTTTAAAGAAAACTGTAAGGTTAGAATTCAGTCCCAACAGAAAAACAAGGTGTTTGTTGAAAATGTAACTACTTCCAAGGAACCTGGTCCCTCCACTAAAAAATGTATATTGCCTGCCTGGAGAAGAAAAAGTCTGATTCACCCTTTTTCTCACTACGAGGGACCCAAACTTATTTGGGTTCCTAAATCTAACCCTTGATTTTCTTGTACAGGGAGCAGTGAAAGGAAGCAGCCAAAAATGGTACATGGATAGTGAATGCTCTAAACACATGACTGAAAGCACAAATGATTTCATTTCACTCAAAGCCCCACAATGAGGGAGTGTACCCTTTGGAAATGGCAAAAAGGTTACATTCTAGGAGTTGGAAGGATTGAGAAGTCTCTTGCTCACTCAATTGAAAATATATACTATGTGAACGGATTGAAGTACAGTCTGCTAAGTGTTTCCCAAATCTGTGACAAGGGAAACAAAGTGGAATTTGTGTCAAAAATATGCACGGTCATAAATCTTGTGAACGGTGAGGTGGTTCTGGTGGCTAAAAGATACAAAAATATTTATGTTGCTGATTTTGAGTCCTTACAAAATGGGGATCTTAGTTGTCTGAGCGCTGTTGATAATGATGCTGAACTGTGGCATAGAAGATTGAGTCATGCAAGTTTTATGTTGCTTAACAAATTGGTCAAGAAGGACCTGGTTCGTGGCCTGCCCAAGTCAACCTTCAAGGATCACAAGGTGTGTGATGCATGCGTAAAAGGAAAACAAGTCAGATCATCATTCAAATCGAAAAAGAAAGTTAGTACCTCAAGGACACTTGATCTCTTTCATATGGATCTATGTGGACCTATGAGGGTGCCAAGTAGAGGATGAAAGAAGTACATTTTTGTTATAGTGGACGATTATTCTAGATTCACCTGGACCCTGTTTCTCAGAACTAAGGACGAAACCCTTAAAGTATTTACTGTATTTGTGAAAAAGATCCAGGTAAAGATGAGCCATAAGGTAGTATGTATAAGGTCTGATCACGACATAGAATTTTACAATGCCAAATTCAACGAATTTTGTGCTGAAAATGGCATTACTCATAATTTTTCAGCTCCAAGAACACCTCAACAAAATGGTGTTGTGGAGAGGAAAAATAGGACTCTTGAAGACATGGCAAGAACAATGTTGATTGACAATGGCATTGCAAAAGATTTCTGGGCAGAAGCAATCAACATTGCATGCTACTTGGTGAACAGGTGCATGATCAGGTCCCTCCATAACGAAATCCCGTATGAACTGTTGAACGGGAGGAAACCCAAGCTGACACATTTAAGGACATTTGGCTGCAAATGTTTTGTTCTCAACAATGGCAAGGAAGCACTTGGAAAATTCGATGCCAAAAGTGATGAAGGAATTTTTCTGGGCTATTCATCACAAAGCAAATCTTACAAAGTGTACAACAAGAGAACTCAATGTGTTGAGGAAAGCATACATGTGATCTTTGATGAATCTCACCATCCTTGTGGGAAAGATTCACATGATAAGATTGATCAAGATGGAGAACAGTCAGTTATTCCTGGTGAAGTCATAAACAAGGCAAATGGTAAGGCTGACATGATGAGTCAAGTCAAGGAATCAAATAATGATGGTGTAGCTTTATATCCTACTGATATGGAGGAAGCTGGTTCCTCAATCACAACAATTGAAGCTGAGAATAGAGTTGTTGATGCTGTCCAAGGAACCCCACATGCTGAGCTAAGAAACAGAACTCACGACAACAAAGGATCACGTTCAGAAATACCTGAACCCTCTCACAATGCGATTCAGGTGTCTAACTGGAAGCACAAAAGTTCACACCCTCTTGAAAATGTGATCACTCCTCTTGACTCAGGTATTCAAACGAGGTCAAGGTCAAGAAACGAGCTTGCCTTCTCTGCCTTTCTTTCTCAGATTGAGCCCAAAAATATCAAGGAAGCATTGAAAGATGCTGACTGGATTACAGCTATGCAAGAAGAACTCCATCAATTTGAGAGGAACAGTGTATGGCATCTAGTTCCACGACCTGCTGATAGAACAATTATAGGAACTAGGTGGGTATTTAGAAATAAACTTGATGAGTTTGGAAACACAACAAGGAACAAAGCAAGGCTAGTAGTTCAAGGCTACAATCAGGAAGAAGGGATTGACTATGATTAAACCTTTACTCCAGTTGCTCTAATGGAGGCCATCAGAATCCTCATTGCCTTTGCATCTCATATGGAATTCAAACTATTTCAAATGGATGTCAAAAGTACATTTATGAATGGCTTTCTAAAAGAAGAAGTCTTTGTCAAGCAACCACCTGGCTCTGAGCGTCATGAGCATCCTAATCATGTCTTTAAACTTGAAAGGAATTATATGGGCTAAAGCAGGCTCATCGTGCTTGGTATGAAAGATTATCCAAATTTCTACTAGAAAATGGCTTTACAAGAGGAAAAATTGACAATGTCTTATTTCTGAAACCTGCTCATTGTGCAAGTCTATGTTGATGACATCATCTTCGGAGCAACAAAAGATTCCCTGTGTGAGGAATTCACAAGGCTTATGAGAAGCGAGTTTGAAATGAGCATGATGGGGAAATTGAATTTCTTCTTGAGTCTACAAGTCAAGCAAACTCCTAACGGCACAATGATAAGTCAGCAGAAGTACATCAAATAACTTCTGAAGAGGTTTGAAATGGAAAGCTCAAAGATCATTGATACTCCTATTGCCACTGCCACTCGTCTGGATTTGGATGAACCTGGTTCTCCTGTGAATGTGACCATGAATAGAGGTATCATCGGGTCACTCCTATATCTCATATCAAACAGACCAGATATTGTTTTCAATGTGGGACTATGTGCCAGGTTTCAATCTAATCCAAAGGAATCTCATCTGAAGGTTGCCAAGAGAATCTTGAGGTATCTTAAAGGAATGCATGACCTGGTTCTCTACTATCCCTCATGCGATAATTTTGATTTAATCGGGTATGCTGATGCTGATTATGCTGGTTATCTGGTGGATATGAAAAGCATGACTGGCATGGCATACTTTCTGGGTTCATGTCTAATCTCATGGGGTACAAGAAAATAAAACTCAGTGGCTTTTTCAACTGCAGAATCTGAATATGTGGCAGTTGCTTCTTGCTGTGCTCAATTGCTGTGGATCAAGCAACATCTGGAAGATTTTGGTGTGTTCTATGATTGTGTGCCCTTACTATGTGACAATACCAGTGCTCTCAACATGGCAAAGAATCCAGTTCAACACAAGAGAACAAAGCACATTGATGTGCGACATCACTTCCTCAGAGACAATATTGAAAAAAGGCTTATCTGCATGAAGTTTTGAAGCACAGAAGATCAAATTGCATATATCTTCACCAAATCACTGAGTAGAGAGCACTTTGAAAAGAATCGCCTGGCACTTGGATTGGTAAAATCAAGCTAAGGACCTGGTCCCTCGATGATTGGCTATGAAAGAAAAGAACAGGTAATAAACTAAAATGTGTTTTCTGGCAAGGTCTAACTCATCTCTATACCGTTGTAGGTAGACACACATGATGATTACAGAGCACACAAGTAGCTAATGGTATCACATTTTGGTCAAAGGATGAAGTTCACATTTACAAAATCTGTCAGGGAACCTGGTTCCCGTGACACAGGTTAGTAATTCCTCTATACTCTCATCCACAATTTTTTAACGGCTAAAATAGTGCCACGTCATTAATGTGTCAATTTCTTTTTCTTTTACTCTTTGTTTGAACCCAAGCATCTTACCCTTTATGAAACGACTCGTCTACTAAAATAATTGGTACCCGTTCCTAACCGGTCCCTCATCTCTTTTTAAATAAATTCACACATGGTCACTTTCATAACTGTTCACATCATCAACCAAAACTCCCCTTTTTCGCCAACAACCAAACACTCTCTTCTTCTATAAACTCTTACTACACCCCACCATGTCTAAAAAATTCGAAGCCAGAAATGTCCCAAGCATTGTCCCCACTGCGTCTTCATCTGTTGAATCACCGGTAATAGAGCCTGTGACCCTTACGCACCCAGTCCAAACCTTGAGTTAGAGTCACAACCGCCCACTATTTTTTCTCCAAATCAATCAAGTACTGTTTCTCATCGGAGTCGCAAAACCTCAACTCCCAAGAAGTTTGTGGCTACGACCTCTCCTTCTACCTCGCCAGAAAAAATGGTCGAAGAAGATACAATTGAGAGAGACGATAATCAAGAAATTTCTAGTCTACCAGTGGAAGAAACTTCTGAGATACCACACGGAGTGGGTCTTAACAGTGATGCATCAGCAAGGACTACTCTAGGCCCTGATTTGAATGTTGCTGATTCTACAGGTAATGCTTCTCCTATGCCCTCTGAGTTTACTTTGGGGTTGCAAGAACATGATGCTATAGAGAATATATTGTCGATTACTACTGAGGGTTGTGTAGTTGGTGAGTATGAAGGCGTGTCTGAACCAAATGGGTCTAAGAGGGAAGGTGATAGTCTACTGGTGGAAGGAAAGGAACTGGTGCTTGTCGAAAATCTGACACGAGACAGTACTACTGGGGAACTTCCCGAGGGACCCGATCCCTCCACACAAGAGGAGACCTATGCTCCTGCTTGGGATGAAACTCCATGTTCTTCTAAAGAACCCCAGGTCAGTACTGATCCCGCTCCCTCTCCTTATTTCTATGCTGAGCCATTGGCCATTGTTCCTCCCGAGATGAGATCTCCGTCTGAGGAGGAAAACGGAGGGAGTGAAGAAGACTCTGATAATATGGCTATTGCGAGTTTCATTAGTGCTAGGAGTAAAAGGGCAACTCCCAAACCGCCCACTCCTAAATGGCCCACTACTAGACTGCAAAAGAAGGAAGCTCTTGAGTCAGTGTTGAAGAAAAGTAAGAAAGAAAAGAAGAGGAAGAGGTTGATGAAGGGTGTCAAGTTAGTACATGACGAGGTAGTACCTACAGCTCTTGTGGTAAATATTGATGATGAGGTGGATGAGGAACCCAGTCCCTTGATCCGTAAATCCCCCCAAAAACCTACTGTCCCAAAATCTAGTAAAAAGTCATCTGTGAGTGTGATGGAAGAGTGTGATGGAAGTTAGCAACATTGCGGTGGACAAGTCCGATGAGAAAGTGGTTGAAGAGTGTGCTGAAAAGGTGTTTGAGAAGAATGTGACTGAGAAGGCATCTGAGAAATCTACTAAAAAAGAAAAAGTGTAAGAAAATCAGTGAAGAGAAAGGCTGGCGCCAATGAGGAACCTGGTTCCTCGAAAAAGGCCAAGGTCAATGTGACCAAGGATGTTGGA